CATGTTTTAACTATGCATACTAAAGTAGACCTACATATTGATATTGATTCATTATTGTTTGTTGAATCTCATAAGCAATTTGTTGTACTTCAGATTAATTAAAAGCTTGTAAAGACATATAGAAAATGACAGTGACAATGAATAATAGTACTTTTGTATGCGTTACTACTAGTATCAGTAGTATTGTTACAACTATTACTACTATTACTGCTAGTCGTGCTACTGCTACTACTGCTAATGCAATTACACTGCTACTATTTTTATTGATATTGCATTTACTCTGCTACCATTATTAGCTATACTGCAATTGCATTACATGCCACTATTGCTGCTGCTGCTACTACTGTCACTGCAAGTACTGTACTGCTGTTGTTACAACAACTACTTTTGCTTTTCTTGTTTTTTGTTCTTTTTTACTTGTTCACTTTTTATTTTATTTTTTTTTATGTACATCACCTTTTTCTTTTTTTCTTTTTATCTACTTTCTTTTCTTCCTCCTTTACTTCTTGTTCTACTTCTGTTACTGTAGCAGTAATCATTATTATATTATTAGTTCAGAGTTTTCATTTTGCCATTATTGGCATTATTAACAATGTCAAAAAAATATATCTTTACTCATTACAGTACTGTTCTCATAGATGTATTAGAAAACCAGTGTTTATATATATTGTATGTATTATCTGATGTTACTACATATATGTATCTGTTTGTCTGAATATGCTTAGGAATAGCAATATTGTTTTTTGCAGTGTTGCTTTAGTTTTATTATTGAATTTTTATGTCTATAGAAGAAATGGTGTGATACAGGAATTGATGGATATGATGTACTACCTCTCCCTATTCCTCCATGATGTAAACTTCATGAATGATGGCCAAAACAGAATTTTAAGAATGTGTGTTTGATCTTTATTTGTATGCCTAGGTATGTAGTCTAGCTATGTTTGTAAGAAACATTATAAACTGATGTTCTTTCTCCATCAGACAGATTTATGTTAAGTGGTGTCCTGTTCCTGTTTAGTCAGTAATTTGCTTTGTCAATATTTCAGAGAGTGTATAATGTACATGTTTCTGTTCAAGGATAGATAATATAGTTTTGTGTGCACTGGTTTAGTTTCATATCTTATTCTTTGCTTTTACATTGCTAGTGTATATATGAAGACGTATATGTACCGTCATTCATAGCATTGTAAGTAGTAGTGCAAAAAAAAATTAAACATCCTGTACACAGTTCTTGACCCCTTGGATGTCCAATAAACAGGCACTTAGATATTTAACCCATTGCTGCTGGGTGGCATGTATGTACATGCTTATGGCATGACTAGACTTCCATGCTATGCATATCAAGCCTGCTCCAAGTTGTGTGTGCTAAACAGTTGTTCTCTTGTTTGGCTATGTCTGCAGACATTGAGGAGTTACAACTATCAAAAGTAGGCTTTAATTAAATCAGGTAAAATCTGAAATTGGGAAAATTATATGCTTTCTCTGCTTTTATTTTTTCCCTTGAGGGGCTGATTGGATGTGGTGCCCAGCATGTGGTCTAGTGGTGTGCAAAACACCTGGTGGCATTGAGTTAATGTCTGATATTAGTATTTGATTTCTGTTTAATATGTTTCAATTTGTTACATATGTAATTTTTGTACAGACTTACTATTTGTGCTACATTTCAAATATAAAAGTAATTTTTCAAGGATAAAGTTGAAGTTGACATGTAGCAGAAGAAAAATCAACCAACAGAGTTATTATGTTGGTCAGTTGTATTTTAGAACTGTGTTGCCTCAGGGAAATTTTTATAGATTATTAAGTTCCCATTTATGTTTGCAGTATCTATTAAAGGCATATTATGCATTGCATTTAAGCATTTCCTTTCATGGATATGATGATTTTTGATCATAGGAGCCAGTAAATTTCCTTTTAGAATAGAATATACCCTCCAAGCTTGCAGTGATTTCTGTATATTTTATCTGTCAGATAGAAAAAAAGATAGGATGAGAGGTTAGGAGAGGAGGAGGAAAATAATGGGGTAGGGAACGAAGGCAAGAAGAGAGGGAGTCAAGAAGGGAGGGAGAAAGCAGGAAGAGAGGGAGGGGACAGGAAGGGAGGGAGGAGGCAGGAAGGGAAGGAGTATGGGAGAGAGGGAGTATAGGAGAGAGAGAAGTTATAAGAGAGAGAGAGAATGTATGAGAGAGAGAGAGAAGCTATAAGAGAGAGAGAGAGTGAGAGAGTGAGAGAGTGAGAGAGTGAGAGTGAGAGTGAGAGTGAGAGTGAGAGTGAGAGTGAGAGTGAGAGTGAGAGTGAGAGTGAGAGTGAGAGTGAGAGTGAGAGTGAGAGTGAGAGTGAGAGTGAGAGTGAGAGAGAGAGAGAGAGAGAGAGAGAGAGAGAGAGAGAGAGAGAGAAAGAGACAGAGACAGAGACAGAGACAGAGACAGAGAAAGAGAAAGAGAAAGAGAAAGAGAAAGAGAAAGAGAAAGAGAAAGAGAAAGAGAAAGAGAAAGAGAAAGAG